TACTAAGGATGTTTATCCATTTTAGCTATAGAAGTACTTCTGTGGCTTTTGGTTTAAATTGTAGTGGCTAGAAAAATTAGGGAGCCGCGGACGAGGTTCCTCAATTTGCGATAGCTCGAACTAACTGATCAGTTTAAGAACTCATAAAGCATTGAGATTTTACTGCAGGTTAAAACCACAGTTTAACTGGGGAAACCCTGACTCTGGGTTTAAATTACTACTTCTAATTAACATTTTTTCTTTTGCCCTAAACTCAATCTTTTCTGAAGTTACTTTTATAATTTTGAAGTCATGAATAGAAATGAGAAAAATATTCAGCATTTTTTACCAACCTTATGCATAAAAATGTTAAGAGATTGTGTATGATCAACGACATTAAATTGCTTTCCTTCCAAAAATTAGAATAAAGTTTTTCTTGCCAGTCTTTTGTATGAGAAGCTTTATGCTTCTTACCTGCTGCCAAATTTTAATTTCTAGGTGAGTTATAGTTGTAGCAGTATATACTTTGTCAGTTTAAACCAGGGATATGATGTTTTTAAAACCGATAGTGTCTTGCTTTTGAAACCTGTTTTAAAAGAGTCCTTTTAAAAATTAGGTCTTGTTTTGGATGAAGATCACATTCTGGCAGGAACCCTAATGTGTGAAAATCACAAATACTTAAAATAATACAGTTTCATGCTTTGAAAATGTATTTATGATGAAGTGACAGGAATGTAATGTAAAATGTGAAAAAAATAATTCTAATGTGATTCAGGAATAGTTAAGGTTACAGTATCAGTGAAATTGAGGAAAGATGGAAATAGCCTTAATAATGGAAAATGAATTACCTGATAGAACGTTTTGAAGAAATGTTTAGATTAATATGAGAATACTCATATTGATCATTTTAGTAAAATCCTATCTCAGCTACCATAGGTGCATCTCTCTTCCTGGGGGCCACAGAAGTCTAAATGAAGCAGCATCCAGCAACAGTATAGTGGGCCTTGAAACTATCCTGTCAGGCTGGAGAGTTCTGAAAACCCTCTGGGAGGTGAAGAAGCTTTGGTGGCTTGTGGAGCTTCACAGTGCTAGGATCTGTCTTGTGGCTAGCAGAAGGAGATGCCAGGGAGTCAGTGGGGGCACTGGAGAGCGTAAAAAGAAAAGGAGACAACATAATGCATTATCTAAAGAAAGGGATGGATTTCAGGGAATTGGGAAAGTACATAGCATATTTGTCCACTTATCAAAACTTCACCATTAAGCTACTCTTGGGTCAAATTGACTGTATTTCAGGAGAAGTCTCCTGACTAGAATGTTAGTGAAAAAAAAAAGGAGACCAAATGAAGAGCACTTTGTCCTTTAGCCACCATGTTTAAGTTTTCTTACGAGTACTTTTTTTTTTTTTTTTGCAACAAATACAGCCATTATAAATATTAAGTCTCATGTAGCTCCTTGCCGAGCTTTTGTTGCAACAGCTTAATAATAACAGTATCACCAAGCCTTCTCCCTGGGGACTGCCATGCAACAGTTCTTTTGAAGACATGCTTGACCCCGCCTCACTTGCTTCTACCTGGCTGATCAGAGGGACCAGCTGTGATACAGGTAAGCTCTTTCAATAAAGAATCCATTTATTTGGGAGAAATTGCTGGCCATGATTGTGAAGTGGAGAACTAAATGATGGATAATATGACTGAAGAGTTTAGATATCTACTCCAACTGTCTCTGGTCCCTTTACACTTAAATGTCCGCATAGAGCTAGGTCATAGATGTTTTATAGTTTTTCTGTAAAATGAGATGAAAAGGGCACAAGCCTTAGAGACAATACCTGGATGCACTGCTGGAATTTTCTGTATCGGCATAGTTGATACTCATCAATAGTGTATGAACTTCTTTTTCTGTTTTTTCTTTTTTTTTCTTTTTCCTGTTATATAATGGAACTTTGTAAGAATGTTACACCAGATTCAATTTAATTTAGTTAATGCAATAAACACTTATCGGGTGCTTATGACATATGGAACACCATGGTGGACATATGAAAGAAAGACAAAGAGGACCTAGCCCTGCCCTTAGAGAACTTACAGTCTAATAGAGTTGATAAAGTTTGCAAACAAATAACTATGAAACTAAGTAGACAAGGTTATAAGAATATTTTTAATTATGGAGAAATGCTTATAAAACAGTGTCATGAGGAAAATTAAACTGCACACTAAACTATAAACAAATTGAGTTTTCTTAAAAAGTATACATATAAAGACTGAAAGAGGATACTGCAAAATGTTAACAGTAGTTCTATAGGTGATAGACTTAAAAGCGATTGTAATATTCTTCTTTATTCCTATTTTTTCAAACATTTTTAAATGATGAATCTGTTTCTAGTAGAATAATTAAAATAAGCTTTATTAAATGAGAGTACTATAAAGTACAAAATTCAGTGGAAGTACAGAGGGAATTGGGAAGGCTTTAAGATTTATGTCTTTCATAATGATGAAAAACTTTCCATCTCGGAAATAGATAATGAAATTTTATTGAGTTGAAAAGGTATATTATATTCCTACAACTTTTTTTCTTTATAACATTTGACCAATCTCTCAACTATAGCTCTAGTAGCTGCTAGCTGGCATATTAGCTTTTAAATTTTATATTATTTTAGATATGACTTTAAAATGTTTTACTACATATAGCATAGAGAGCTATTTTTCAAATCAATAGTTGTTGTTAATCACTAGTCATTTTCCTAGGTAGAATAGATGGACGTGGTGAAGAATCTCTCTACTTGTCTCGTTGACCCTAGAAATACTTTTTTTGATCATTGACTGGCAATGATCAAAAAAAGTATTATCCTCGTGTTTAGTATCTGTTAATATTCAACCCATGAATACATATTCTTTAAGGTTTACTAGGCCTCTAGAAAAGAGACATTATAATATTCCATGAGCCAGCTGCCTCATCAGCCCATGCTGTTTTCTTGATGGATGGCCTGGGTGATAAAACTTCCCACGGTGTATGGTGAAGTTGCAGAGGTTTGTCAGGACAGAATTTAGGTGGCATACACAGGCTTCAGCTAACTTGAAAGGTGAGAGCTTGGTTCTATATAACACAAGATAGATTATTTCCTCTCTCTATGCCTCAGTTTCCTCACTTATAAATGGAGATAATAATAATACCTATTTCATAGGCTTATTTTGAAGATTAAATTTGGCATTTGTAAGCATTCGATATATAGTTGTTATTATTATGATGTATAATAGACCTGGAGGATTGTGGTAGATTCTTTTTTCTTTTTAATAGATCACAGGAAGAAGAGGAGGCAGGAAAATATGCTGAGAAGATATAATAATCTTACTTTTCTTTCTTTAAAATAGTAAGGGACAAAAAAATATGTAAAGAAATAATTGCTACATAATGTGATTCATGCAACAACAAAAGTTTGTTCAAGATATGGAAAAGGGAATGATGAACTGGACATGGATCAGGGAGGGCTTTGAGAAGTGCCACTGGGGCAGAGTTTTGAATGATAAGTGAGTAGTGGGGGGCGAATGAGGATAGTGATGATGGGGACATGCCAGTCAAGGAAGATTTGGACAGTATCATAACTTAAGGCTGGTCCTGATGGACCTTGAAAGGTGGGAAGAGTAGTGAAAGATGAGCCCAGAGAGGGAGAGTGGATCCAGCCTGGGAGTTAAGATTGCCCTTCCTGTATGTAGATGTACATTTGTGTCAGAACTTCTTAAAGGGGTTTACTGTTCCCTGAGCCCTTTTCTCCCACCCCTTCCAGAGCTGTCCTAGGCTTTTTAATTCCATTCCCATTAAAGTGAAGCCCTAGCTGGGCAGGCTCATTTAAGTACTTCCTCTCAGTTATGAGAGGAAGCAGAGTTTGCCACCCCAAAATGTGCCTTTTTAGGGTATTGATTATTTTAAGCTGATTAGTTTTAAGAAACAAAAGACTCAGGAAAAACCTTTGACCTTCTCTATAACTGCCTAAAACAATTTAGATAGAGGACCTGATCCAGGAAAGGAGGTATCATCATAGATAACTATTGTTTAATATGGACTAGTATGCCATAGACAGGGAGGAACCTAGCAAGGTTCCTTTGATCAAAGTCCGCTCTGTGTCCCATTGTTAAAGATGGCCCAGTAAACACTTGTTTACTGAACATTTGCTTTTCCATCTCCATATGAATTGCCTTCCTGTCCTTTGAAGTCCCAAACTACAACCCATCTTTTCTCCTATAAGTCTCAATTGCCTGATTTGTCCTCGGGTCCCACATTCTTATGGACTGCGCGCCCCCCCACCGCCGCCCCGCACCGGATGTACATATGTTATAACTTGGGTTATTTTCTCTTGTTAATCTGTCTCATGTCCATTTGATTATTAGACCAGCCAGAAGAACTTAAAAGGGTAGAAAGAAATTATTTTTCCTTCCCTACAGTTGTTTTTATACATTTGAGAAGCATCGCTCCATAACTTCCTAGATACACGTGTATATCTACTATTTATGGCTCCTCTACTGTTGACTTTCCCCCAGCAACATCCAGAAAGGCCAGCAACAGTTGTTTGTGAAGTTGTCACTGACCCCTCAAATATCATCTCAAGGTAGACTATGATCCAAATGAATTCAAATATGACTCACCTAGAGAGACAGATTTGTATATTAGAAAAATATAGTTCCAGGTTCACATACACATTTGCATTGGATCAGCCTGAGTGAACTTGATTTGGTGGATATCCCACATGGCATACCAAGGTGCTGGAAGTTTCTGTCTGCAAAGGGTGCATCTCATAGGGGTTTAGTCTAGAGGTGGTATCTGTTGAGACCTTCCTCGGATGCCACAAGGGGTGGCTGAATTATGCTGGCCAACACTCTTCCATGGCTAAGGCAAATTTTCTATCTTTTTGTTTCTTATACAATGTCTTTCTTTTTGGTGACTGTCAGCATTCTTCTACTTGTTCAGGGTGCAGGTGAGTCACTTTTCAAAAAAACTTTGTAGATGTTTCTGAAACAACTTTGGAGATAGCGAAGAAAATAGTGATTTGGAGATTTTTTTTTATTTATTTGATGGGAATAACAATGCCTTGTGGAGTAGTTATATTGCAGATTTTTTATTTATTTGACGGGAATAACAATGCTTTGTTTCATAGGAAATGATGAACAGATGAGGAAAATACAGCAGACATGAATTGTAAAGCATTATTGTTTACTCACTTTTTTAATGAGAAGATCCTCCCAACCCCCTAAGTTGTTTTTTTCCATTTGAGGCTATATCTGGATAACTACACTTATTCACACCTATAATATGAATGCCCCCAACTAAAAAAAACTAGACTCCCTACCTCTGTACCCCTCCCCTGCCCAGCCCATACTTCAAGTGACTCTGGCAAGTGCTGGGAGTATAGTACCACGGAATATTTGAAATCAGATCGGTCCTGAAAAATCTGGATGGGCAGTCAATGCAGTCAACTCTATACTCAATTCTTCAAAAATGTTGAGATGAACAGTATATAGATGTTGAAAATGTAATGTAATTCAGCTAACCCAAAGTATATATGCAAAAATTTCTTTAAAAAAAATGTATCCCAAATCTGCGATATAACTACTCCACAAAGTCATCAAACACATTTATAGTTTTCAGGCATATGCTATCTCTTAGGGACTGACGCAGTTCTGCTGGTTGCTTAAAGATAGCAGCAGCTTGAAGGCATCCTCAGCCTCCAGAGATCTACTCAGGAGTTAGTGCAAGGCCTGGTCCACACAGATTACATTTACTGGCTCTTTTCTTTTGATGCTTGAGTGTGTGTGTGGGTGCGCGCGCGTGTGTGTGAGTAGTGGGGAGCAGAAGGGCAAAGTGAGATGGTAATTCACTCATAGGAATAACCCAACCAAAGAAATTACAGGAATGAGTATGTATGTAGGTGAGAAAGAGAAAGGTATGTTCTAATAATATCTTACATTTTGTAACAATATTGACGGACCTAATACTACGTGCTAGGTACTACAGTAGGTGCTTTAGATATAGTATCTTTCTACAGTTTTCAGAGTGTTTTCTCACCTTATTAGAGTTTTGCTGAGCCCTTGCCTTGGCTTCTAGGCCTTGGGAAGCTTAAGACACATGGTCTAGAAATAATACAGTGTTACAGATTCAAGTAGGACTACCTACTGACACATCAGTCAGAAAATATCTTTTATCTTACCAATTACATCATCAGGAGATCATGTTTCATGATTTGCTGGCTAGAACCTTTGGGTTCCCGAGGCTGAAACTCTTTCTTTTGGGGCCAGAAAGGGTACAGCTGCAACAAGACCTCCTGGGTATAACTTGAGAAGCTAGAATCAAGGGTTCCTCATAAGTAAACTACATATTTTGAGAGATTTGGAGGAGGGGCAGTTTACTGAGGTATCCACTCCTCTAGTCCATTCCTTCTTTCCCTCTGCAAAATGATTGAAACATATTATATAGAAACTACCTAAGGTCCCAAGGTATTTCATAACAACCCTGGGGTAGGTGTTCTTATCCTAATTATACACAAGGAAACTATAACTCAGATTAAGTGACTTGCTCAGTGCCAAATGACTAGTGAGAGGGATTTAGAACTAGAACTTGGATTTACACATTTTCAGACTAAAATTTGTTTATAACTATAATCCACTGCTTTTTTATTATAACCACATTTGACAAATAACAATAATTTGAGCAAGGCTTGAAATGAAACATAGGCTTTTCTTAGTCCTGAGCATTCAAACTGGGACTGGAATATACCATAGCATTCCTATGTCTCCAGCTTACCCATTGCAGATCTTGGGATGTCTCATTTCCATAACACATGATCTTGCTATATAAATTTTGTTTGTTCTGTTTCTCTGAAGAAGCCTAATATATCGAGTACATTTCTTAAGTGTTTTCAAAGTGCTAGACATATTTCCTGAATTAATTCACTTAATCTTTATACTAATACTGAGGTAGGAACTGAGGAAAGAGCATTGTTCTGAGCCTAACATAATGCAGGGAAAGACAGAACAGAACACACACACTGCAAGTCTCACCTTTCATGCCCATCACTGGGTTCATTCCTCCAGCCTTCCAGTGATTTTATAAATGTTGAATTCTCTGTGCTGAGTTCTTATCTGTTAGAAATAACTAGAGTGGTTTATCTGTTATTAAACCCTACCTGGTACAGCAGCATTCACTGGCCTTCCTAAGTACTTTACTAATTTAATTTCTTCTTTGACCTTCTCAGTGTCTACAGAAGAGGTATGGGCCCACGCTTTCACTGATGTTACCGTCCCCTGCCATTTCTCCTTTGTGGAGGGCACAGAAAATCTTGAGTTTTCTTGGGAAAAAGAAGACATCCAAGAGGAACATGAAGTAGAAAATGATTAGGATGTTATCACTTCTTTAGTTACTATGATTTTTTGACGTTTTCTCAAAGTTGATTTACCAGTTTCACAATAATACAGAGCAACTAGAGGACCAGAACTACTTGTATGAGGGAAGAGTCTCCGTGGATTGGACTGAAATTTCTGAGGGGACTCTTATCACTTTTACTCAGAAATGTGGATTTCATGGATGAAGCCATCTACAAGTGCTCAGCCATCACACCGCATGAAAGAGGCAAAAGTACAATTAAGCTAACAGTAGAAGGTAAGGAAATTTATTAGATAATCTTGGCTTCGAGCTCTGTCTCTTCATAGGGTTTTCTCTTCTAGTATCCTCACTTTTTCTTTTCTACTCAAATTATTATAGGCTCTTTTCATTCCCATAATGAGAGTCAAGTATTTGGAAGTTCAGTTCACCTTAGCAAAAAATATTGCTCTGAACCAAAGCTGCTGTATCTGCACCTATTATTCAAACAAGCAGACCATCAAAACAAAACAAAACACTGGCCTTATTTCAATCTCACCAAGCAAATTATAACACTGAAAACCAAACTGTTAAATAACAGTATTCTTATATGAAAACTCTGAGATATGGTATGTGGCTTAGTAAGAATAGCCCTGAATTGGGAGTTGGGATGCCCAAGTGCTAATTGTGGAATATTCTGGACAACTCATTTAGCTTTTCTGGGCTTCATTTTCTCACTATTAACATGTAGGATTGGACTAGACCAGTGGATCTCCACAGTGCCCCAGGGATCCACATCTTTCTTAGGATTACATGGAGAATGGTCTTGTCACCAGAGATCTCATGGGGGAGGGTGGGGTAGGGGTTGAAGTGGAGGGCGAAAGAAGGCATTGCAGAATTCCTCCAGGGTAGGGTTGGAAGAGATTAGAAGGTGATGGTGAGAATCATTTGTTATTTTCTATAATTCTCAGCAGGGTAGCTGAGGTAAACAGTTCGAAATGAACCCTCCAAAGAAGGAAAGATTCCAAAAATAAACACAGCAGTAATAGATGAGAGCTGCAAGGCAGGAGCATACATGTCTCCTGATTTTCTCTCACCGCACCTGGTTGAAATTTTTAACTACAGTGAACCTCAAGATCTTTTGCCAAATAAGAGTTATTGTAAAAGCCCAGGGCAAGATTTCTGCTAGGCCAAACCTCCTGGGGCTGAAATAAAAAAGGAACTACTTGTTTTATTATTTTTTCTAACCAGACTCTGAAATGCCCCAAGTGCAGTTTGATAGGATTGATGATGAAGCTGTGGCCAAATGCATCTCCAGGGGCTGGTACCTCGCATCCAATGTGACCTGGCTGGACTGGGCCGAGAGGGAGGGCCGAGAGGGACCTGAGCAACCATAGTACCATGGAGGTCCTGGAGAAGCAGATGAATGGCTTCTACAGGGTTTTCTCCATCCTGAAATACCCTGTCAAGTTGAATGAAAAATATATCTGCTGCATAACAGACAGATGTGAACCACCAGCCCTTCAGAATCATCTGCAAGTATCCGAGTAAGTGAGTGAAAGCAGGGTATGTTTCACCACAGAGATGTCATTGGTTATTAATAATTACTGAATGCCAAATGTATCAGGCACTTCTGGGCACTTTGGAGATTTAAAGAAGCACCAGGAACATAAGCCTGTAGCCTGAGACAACAGAAGGTGATGAGATGGAGTCTCTTTGGGTTTGAAAAGAGACCACATACTTCAGGGACTGATAGCTTTCATCCTGATTGATATGGCTGTTACTAATGATGAGGCTTCTGTTCCCCTGCTAAGGACATCAGCTTTATGATGTGACAGGCTGAGTAGTCATAGCTGCCATTTATCAGCCTCTCACCACATGCCTGGCACTTTATATATTTCATTTTAAGTCCTTGACTCAACCCTGCAAGGTAATTGTTGTTCCCCTCCTATGTGAGGAATCCAAGAAGTTCAATACTTTGAACTTCTAATAAGCCCTAGAGTTAGGATTCAAACTCATTCTTTCTGAGTCCAAACTTCATGTATCTTATTATACCACACAGCGTTTCTATATCTAAGACCACAGACTGCCTGAATAGATATGAATCATATAAGTCTGGAGAAGGGGGTCCCCTATGTAATAAGTAATGAGACCAGAAATGAAGTCACTGCTCCGCTCTTGAATCCTGGACAGTCTTAACATTGCTCTCTAAATATATTCTGGGAAATCTAGCAGTTCTTTGATGGAGTCCTTGAGAGAAAATTTGATGGATAATTTTTTGTGTTGTTTCTATTCTAGACTGTTCCCACATTCCTCAGGGAAGGATTCAAAGACTTGAGAAAGCATATAAGAAAAGGAATATTTATTTATTGAACACATGCTCTGTGCTAGGGCAGACCTAGGTACATACCCACAGTAACCACTGAGGTAGATACTAACATTACCCCATTGAGCAGAAAAGAAAACTGAGGGTGAAAGGTAAATTACCAAAGGCTACATAGCTGAAAGTGTTAGAACCTAGGATTTGAACCCAGGTCTAACTATTAACAAAGGCCTGGGGACTTTCCACTATAACATGGTTGACTCAGGGACAGTATGTTCCTTGCACTATAGTATCCAGAGCCTCAGGCAGAGTGACCAGTCTATGCAGCCACGTGTAGCCTCACCTGCCTCTGGTGATGGTGGTGATTAATTTTACACCATAAATTAATTTCTTCTACTTTCCTGTGTACTTGACTTAGTCCTTACCATGACCTCCTTGAAGGGTTAGATCTTGCAGGGACTTTAGCCATCATGTTCTACAAAGCACAACATAAAAGAGTAAGGAAACAGAAGTTTAGAGAGGTCGGATAGTTGTCCAAGGTCATACAGCCTCTGTACAAGAAGTGTAAAGGGAGTCTGACTTCATACAAAGATTGACAGGTCACCTTTCAGGTCTGATCAACATGGGCATGGCAATTAATTAAAGCATTCAAGACACTTTTGCAATACTGGCTCTCCCAGTAACTATCTGTGAATATTATATAACTGTTAAAATTACTCACTAAAATTTTTAATGAAATAGGGAAAGGGTCACAATATAATGTTAAATTTAAACAGGCAAGTTGTAAGCTTGTATGTGTAGTATGAACCCAAGTTGTTTAACTGTATGCAGATTAAAAAGATAGTAAGTATAATAATAATTATTAACATCAATTACCGGTTACTTCTGCATTGTGAAATTATAGGCAATTTTTATTTTCTTTTTACTTGTCTATATTATGTAATATTCTATAATAAATATGCTATTATTTTGTAGTCCAAAAGAGCTATACTTAAAAAAAATCTTTTTAAATATCTTTATGAAATATAATTCACATGCCATAAAATTTATCCATTTTGAAGTATGCAATTCAGCTGTTTTAATATATTCACAGAATTGTGCAACCATTATCATTATCTAATTTTAGAACATATTTATTACCCTAAAAAGAAATCCAATGTCCATTAACAGTCACTCTCCATTTCTTCCCCTGCTCCCCCAGTCCTAGGCAAACACCTCTACTTTCTGAACAATACAGATTTACCTATTTGGACCTTTCGTATAAACGGAATCATACAATATGTGGTAACTGGCTCCTTTCACTCAGCATAACTCTTTCATGGGCTTATTGGTGATTCCTATATCTTCTCTGGAAAAATATTCATTTAAATTATTTTCCCGTAAAAAATGGGCTACTTACCTTTTTATTGTTGAGTTGTAAGTCTTCTTTATATATTTTGGATACCAGTCCCTTATCTAATATATGACTTATAAATATTTTCTCCCCTTCTGTGAATTATCTTTTCACTTCTTGATGGTGTCCTTTGAAACAGAAAAGTTTTTTATTTTAATGAAGTTCAGTTTATCTATTTTTATCGTCACTGTGCTTTTGGTATCATATCTTAGAAATCATTGCCTAATCCAAGATCACAGTGATATACTTATGTTTTCTTCTAAGAGTTTTATGATTTTAGCTCCTATATTCAGGTCTATGATCCATTTTAAGTTATTTTTTGTATGTGATATGAGTTAGGAGTCCAACATCATTCTTTTGTTTATAGATATTCAGTCTTCTCAGGACCATTTATTAAAAAGACTATTCTTTACTCCCATTGAATTGTCTTGACATCCTTGTTAAAAACCAACTGACCATAAATATAGGGTTTATTTCCAGGCTCTCTATTCCATTCTATTGAACTACATATCTGTCCTTATACCCGTATCACACTATCTTGTTCACTATACCTTTTTAGTAAGTTTTGATCCAATGAAGTGTGAGTCCTCCAACTTTGTTCGTCTTTTTCAACATTGTTTTGGCTATTCTTGTTTTGACATTTCCATATGAACTTTAGAATCAACTTGTCAATTTCTACAAAAAAGGAACCTGGGATTTTGGTAGAGAATGTGTTGCATCTATAGATCAGTTTTGGGAGTACTGCCATCTTAACCATATTGTCCTCCAATCTATGAACATGATGTCTTTCCATTTATTTAAGTCTTCTTTAATTTCTTTCAATGATATTTTGTAGTTTTCAATGTATAAGTCTTGTACTCTTTTTGTTAAATTTATTCCTAAGTATTTTATTCTTTTTGATACTTTGTAGATGCAATTGTTTTCTTAATTTTAATTTTGAAATGTTTTTGCTAGTATAAAGAAATACAATTAATTTTTATACATTGATTTTGTATCTTGCAACCTTGTTGGATTTCTTTATTAGTTGTAATAATGTTTTTTGTGAATTCCTTGGTATTTTTCCTATATAAGATCATGTTGTCTGTGAATAGAGACAGTTTTATTTCTTCCTTTCCAATCTTGATTACTTACATTTCATTTTCTTGACTAACTGCCCCAACTGGAACCTCCAGTACAATGCTGAATAGAAGGAGTAGGAGTAAATGTCCTTGTTTAGTTCCTGATCTTAAGAACAAAGCTTTTTAAGTGTGATATTAGCTGTGGGTTTGTTGTAGATTATCTTTATTAGATTGAGGATATTGTCTTCTATTGCTGTTTTTCCCAGTGTTTTTATCATGAATGAATTTAGAATTTTGCCAAATGCTTTTTCTGAATCTATTGAGATAATTATGTGGTCTTTATCCTTTATTAATATGGTACATTACATTGATTGATTTTTGTGTATTGAACTGACCTCCTATTCCTGGAATATATCACACTTGGTCATGGTATTTAATCCTTTTTTACATGTTTACAGGTATGTTGTTGGGGATTTTTATATCTATGTTCATAAGAGATATTGGTCTGTAGCTTTTTCTTCCTGTGATGTCTTTATTTGGTTTTGGTATCAAGATAATATGCCTCATGGAATAAGTTGAAAAGTGTTCCCTTATCTTCTGTTTTTTGAAAGAGTTTGCAAAGGATTGGTGTTAATTCTTCAACTTTTAGTTTTGTTTATTTTCTCTATTGTTCTCCTATGCTCTATTTCATTTACTTCTACTCTAGTCTTTATTATTTCCTTCTTTCTGCTTGCCTTGGGTTTAGTTTGATTTTCTTTTTTAGTAACTTAAGGTAGAAGGTTAGGCTATTGAATTGAGATCTTTCTTCTTTCTTCTTCTTTTTTTAATATAAGAATTTACAGCAGTAATTTTCCTCTGAGTGCTAATTTAGCTGCATCTCATAAGTTTTGGTACATTATATTTTCATTTTCATTCATCTCAAAGTATTTTCTAATTTCTCTTGTGATTTCTTCTTTGATCCATTATTTAGGGTTGTATTGTTTAATTTCCACATATTTTTTACTTCCTAAATTTTATTCTGTTATTGAGTTCTAATTTCATTCTATTTTAATAACCTTTGAAAATGTGAAGTGTGAGCATTGGGTAGAGTAGTGGTTCTCCAAGCAGCATTCTCAGACCAGCAACATTGGAGCCATCTGGAAGCTTGCTGGAAATGCAGATTTTCAGGCCCCACCCAAGACCTCCAAAAACTCTGCGGATAGGCCTAACAATATATGTTTTAACAATATATGTTTGAACCACTCTCAAATTCAAGATCCACTGGTTTAGAGTTTTGGCCTTCTGAGTTGGCAAAGACACCCAGAGCATCTCTGGCCTATCCCTCCCCATGAGGCTGGAGTGCCATCTCACAGCCGTGAGTAGCAGTTGAAGAAAGCAGAGCTCTTGGCTCCTTGCCCCATTCCAGTAAAACAGGATGAACTGGGCAGACTCACAGATTTAAATGTCCTGTTTTGTGTTGTCCTTTCCTTTAAAGAAAAAAAAAAAAGACTTATTAAGCCTTTCCCACATATTTAGGAGTAGAGGTCTTTGACCATTACAGTGAGCCATAGACTCTCTTCTGAGACACTAAGATAAGTTATTAATGATTTGACTTCAAGGAAATCTCTTTTTTATGTCCTCCTAAATTTCAACCTAGAAAAGATTCTGGAAATGCCTAAAAGGTGCCTATATTTTACTTTAATTTACCTCCTTTTATGGGCTTTGAGGTTTGACATATGCTTATTTTTCTAGCCTCATAGCTTTGTTTTTCAATATAAAGCTCTTGCTCATTGCTCTGAGCTTACTAACTCCTTGTGGTTTTTGATCGTATTTATTTATTTTTTACTCTGTGAATCCTTTTTAGAGACATTGTCTATGCTCGAGATGCCTTTCTTTTCTTGGATTTCCTCATAGACTCCTGCTCATCCTTCAAGATTTGTTTCAGACTTTAAATCCTTAATTCTCTTATTCTCATTTCCATTTATTTGATTCATTCATGAAATATTTCTTAGGCTACAACTCTGTGCCAGATACTCTTTTAGGCATTAGAGATGCAACAAGAAACAAATCTCTGTTCTCATGGTGCTTACATGCTAGTAGTGGTGTAAAATAGGTAGTAAATAAACATTAAAATAATATGTTTTGTGTCACAGTACAAGTCCCCTTAAATTTCAACACCTAAAAAATTATCCTGAAAAT